AAGAAATTATGTCTGACATTATTCCAAAAATATTGAAAACCTCAACTAGATCCAAGAAGGTCAGAAAGAATCCCAAGCAGCATAAATACTAAAGGGGAAGAGGGAAGGAAGGGGCGCTGTCAAGACCTGGGGAGGGACTGAGTCTTCCTGAATTTCTGGTTCATCTTGCATTGGAGACAAAGGCTCTTATCTCTCGTTGCATCGCCTTGCATCCTTTTCCTTGTCCCCCGAGCCCTGTGGCGGCAGAATGGAGATGGGTCGAGGCAGATGCTGTGCTCCCGTTGTTCTTGTGCCATAGCTGTGGGAACTGGAGTTTAAGACACCACCATGTTTTCTGTAGACATACCCTTGGAAAGGTAGCAGTGCTTTTATTCAGAACAAAAGATAAAAGTGAGAGAGGCTCTGAATTGTCTCCCTAAAGTTTCTATCTTTCTAGACTATCTTCACTTCTGGCCAATTTTTCCATGACTACATCGTTTTGTTGACCACTGATTAATTTGACCAACAGGAGCTGGCCCAAATTGGCTTGACTTCTTTTCTGCACCATTTAATTAATGCTATCCTTCATGACTCCAAGCTGTGAGTTAGTCTTATAATTTAGTATTCTTAGTTTTGCTCCCCAGCGTCTCTCAAACCATCACTGACCATCTTCCGAAACCCGGTGGTTTCTCCTTAATGTGTGTGTTGACTTTTCTGTGTGGCGTGAGGCATTGATCTAGGTATGACAGGGCGTGCAGAATTGGTCACTCACCACTTTGGACTGCAGTGAGTTTAACTCTAGAGTAATTCTGTAACAACCCTGATCGTGAGTTGAGGTTGACCTGGCCAAAGTACTTTCCAGGGCCACTCAGGATTTCTGTAAACACTTGCAAGTCTCTCATGACTCTCTCTAAGGTGCACATGACTGTGTGTTTAGGAGGGAGGCAAGTTAAAGCCTGGCTTCCACAGCAATCATATACTCTCCAGGGCACACACAGTATACTTGGAAAGAAAATACCGTTTGCAAGAGAAGTATGAGAGCCTCCCAAGTGGGACCTCTGTCAGAAGGGGTGCAGGTTGACAGTGCCTCTGAAGTAGCCTTTTGGGTGGCTAGTGAGCCTTGTGATCCCCCTTTAGTTTGCATCATTGAGTCTAGGCCTTGTTATTTCAAGGACTACCTTCAGGTAGTTGGTTCAACCTGTCTTGTTTTTCCACCTCACCTAGTGGGTGGAATTCATCCACTCCTGAGAACAGGAGTAAAGAAGACATCTGGCAGTGATATGCATGGGAGATACAGTAGTGGGGCTGATGTTTCTAAAAGACTCTGCATAAGGTAGGAATGGCGGTCAAGTGGTGGTCAGAATCTCCTGGTGGGGGATGGTAGACACTCCACAATCACTTAGATATTATGGATTGCCAGCTGTTTAGGAGAGCCACACCTGGGCGCCTGGTTTCCCTTGGGGAGGAAGGTTCCAGTGGCCATTTCTGAAAGAGAGAAAAATCAAAGAATAGGCCTTTACAAGAGTGAACCAGACAAGATTTTTCAGTTTGCAGCCCCAACGAGCATGTTTTCACTCGGGCAGTCTGTAGTTTGCCTGGTAGGCAGCAACCCAAGAATCCGCATTGAGCTCAGTGAGTGGAATGACCATGTTTACTTTTGGTTCTACATCACTGGTTCTGAGGCCAAATAGCCACTACAACCCGAAAACCTTTCAGCTGCTCCAACTCATGAAGTGAACCAGCCCCAGTCAGTGAGGGGCCTCTGGGAACTTCACTTGAAGCAGTAGAGTTGGGGAATAAAGTTACCCCTTATTCATGTAAAACCAAGGTGCAAGAGGCCAGGCTTTCTGTATTCTTGAATATACCAGTTTCATTTGACAAGAATAAGGATAAGCGACTGATGAATCCTAACTTCTTAGTCATGGAATTGGCATTGACCTGTCTGCCCCAACATGGACCTATCTTTCAGATGGGACAATCTGGGCCTTTGTTTATCTATGATTTCATTTCAGTTAGAGCTCTGTAGCAAGCTGAGAGCTACTTTTCTAAGGGACCCTAGTAGCACTGTCAAAGAAACTGACAACATTCCAACCCCCTTGTGGCAGCTGCATTTCTTTGCCAGCTGCGCCAACTGGCAAACTCAGTAGTCCCAGACTTGTACTGTCCCCAAGACCTGGAATCCAGTTTTGTTGTTGGAGGCGGTATTTTTTTCCCATTTTATTGGGGGCTCGTAAAATTCTTATCACAATCCATACATCCATCCATTGTGTCGAGCACATTTGTACATCTGTTGAAGGGGTATTTAATTTAGCTAGTGTCGTAGTGGTTACTCCTGGGGCGTCTAGCCACAAGGTCAGCAGTTCAAAACTACCAGCTACTTACGCGTGAGAAAGTCTATGCTTCCTGTTCTCGTAAGAACTCGGTCTCAGAAACCCGCTATGCTGTCCTATCGGGTCGAGATGAATCGGAAACAGCTCAGTGTCCGTGAGCTTGGCCTTTGGGTTTTGGAGTGTACAGTGGTTCATTTCTGTTTTTGGGGTAAGATGTCAACATGAGTGGAAGCTGGGTGAAGGGAATATGAGAATTCTCTGTGCTGTCTTTGCAACTTTTCCTTCCATCTAAAGTAATCCCCACATAAAAAGTGCGCATGTGTGTGTGTATGTGTGCGTATAACACTAAATGCCTTTCCATAGTTTCTTGAGTAAAACTCACTTTTGAGCATGATACTTTCAGACCATTTAGAATCCATTTCAACTGAAGCAGTATCACTCTCCTCACACTCAAAGAGGGTATTTCAGCTACTGGTCTACTCCGTACACGTGTAGACTATGTTGCTCATGCCTTGATTTTTTCATACACCTTTCATACATGCTCATCCTAACTTCATGTGGTAAAGTGCAAGCAAGCTTCACGACTGTGCCATGTCTTACCTTTTTTGTTTTCTTGAAACAACCCTGGCTCACAACAAATTGTTCATAGCAAGTACCTTCCCTTTTAAATAGTGGGGTAGGCATTGAGCCTTTTCTTGCACTAAACAAAACAGAATCCACCATCATCGAATCGATTCTAAGTCCTAGTGGCTGTAGGGCAGGATAGAACTACTCCTTTGTGTTTCCCAGGCTCTCAGTCTTTATAGGAACAGAGAGCCTCACCTTTCTCCCAGGTAGTGACTACTGAACTTGTGGTGAGCAGCACCAGGCGTAACCCACCACACTACCTGGACACCTAGAGTATAGAGGTTTATTGAGGGGGAAGTAACATTTTGCTTTTAATGCCAATATTTATCTCATTGCTCATTTCTAGTGAGAGGTATACAGGAGATTTTGAGGGGTCATGTCATATGTGGCCATGACAGGACTGTACGTTTTATGTTCATGAAGATCTGAAGTGGATGCTTGTTTGCATTTCATAACTGTATTTTGAACATACTCATACATAGATTCTAATTTCTTTGTTTATCTTTTATGTTTTAGGAGGGCCAAACATGTGGGCTATTACCTCTGAAGAACGGACTAAGCATGACAAGCAGTTTGATAACCTCAAACCTTCAGGCGGGTACATAACAGGTTGGTTTGTTAGGATTTTTGTATTTTATTGATGAGTTATAGTTCTATTCATGTGTCTTAGAAGTAGCTTTGATTTGATTGCCAGCAGATGTGCATTAGTATAGTGATGAAACTCATTATATCAATCAGAATTCTAGAATTAAAAAATAATTATTTTTCCTGGAACCGTCTTAATTTTCAGGTTTTAGATTTAGCATATGGAAAAATCTTTGCAGAACCTCAAATGATAGTAAAGAATTTCCATGTAGCTTCTTTGACATGACCAACACCTTGAGGGGATGAGTCCAAGGGCCTGGGAGCTCAGGACCACAGTCTTGGGGATTCCCAAGGTTAGTTGTCATAACATGGTCCACACAAAAAGTCCACGTTGTACTTGGGTGAGCAGTGTCTGGGGTCTTACCAACTCGTAAGCTGCCATCCAAGGGATATGCTTCAATGGATGCTCCCTGTCTAGAGGAATGAAAATAAAAAACGAGTGGAAACCATGAATCCAACCTCAAGTTGCAATGCTTGTTTGTTAGTTTGTTTGAAATTAGCTTGTGTGCCCCGAAAGAGTTTAAGTCAGTTTCACTTTCACCTCCCCCTCCTTTGATTGCTCAGGCCAGGCTTTAAGTCTGTTGGGTAAAGAATTGGGAGGGCCTTTTAAGCCTATGACCCTTATTTCTCTCGCTCTATAGCGTATTATTTTAGTTTATATATAGTTTATTTTTTTCCTTTTGCTTGTGGAATAAATAGGACACATAAGAGAAAAATATAGAGTTGTTAAAAATTACAGTCGAGGAACCCCACGGGGACAGTTCTGCTGTGTCCAATAGGGTCACTGTGCATCAGAATCAACTTGTTGGCAGTGAGTTTGGTTTTATTGGGTTCTGTTTTACCAAGCAGTCTATCCTTTTCCAAGGCCTACTCTCCCCTGGTAGCATGTTCAAAGTCCGTGGAACGAAGTCTCACCGTCCTTACGTCTAAGGAGCATTCATCCGTATAGAAAGCCGTTGACAATGACAACCTTGCTCTTCAACACGTAAAGATCCTCATGGATTTTATCTAACTTAAATCTATAGTCATTGCTTATGAAAACAGCAGTCACGAAATCAAATGATGCATTGTAGTAGGTGAATCTGCCGCCCCAGACCTCTTTAAGGCTCTCATTTTGAGGACTAAGGTACATCTGACCCAAACTATGGTATTTTTTATTGCTTTTATACATGTGAAAGTTGGACATCGAATAAGTAAGACTAAAGAAGAATCAATGCATTTGAATTATGATGCTGGCAAAGACTATTAAGTGTTCCATGAACTGCCAAAAAGACAAATCAGTCTGTCTTGAAAGAAGTACAACTAGAATACTCCTTAATTTTTTACAGGACTAGAAAGCCTCATCTTTCTCCAGCAAAGTGGTTGATAGTTTCTAGCTCCTGCCTTGAGGTTACCAGCCCATCTTGGAACCCGCTATGTCAACAGGGCTCCTGGTAAAGTAGAAGGGCATCAAAAAGGAGGAAGACCTTTGGTAAGATAGATTGACGGAGTGGCTGCAACCATGGACTCCAACATAACGATCGTTGAAGGACCAGGCAGTGTTTTCGTTCAGACCAGAGGGTTGGTGTGACTGAACAGCACCTATCAACAGCAGTGGAGCACACAAGTATCCGTCTCCATGACCCTGAGGCTGGGTTAAATGGCACCCAGCTACTACTCCCAGCACCTGCTCTGGAAGGGGTCCCATTAGAAGGTCCTGGATAGAATGGGAGAAAAATGTGGAACAAAACTCGAAGTCATAGGAATAAAGAAAATAGCCGGCTTAGAGCGAGACTGGTAGAACCCTTGAGATTATGGCTCTTAGTCACTCTTCAGGCCTGGTAACGAACTCACCCCCATGGGTCAATTTTTAGTCACCAATAGGTAGATTTCCTTTAGGAACCTTAACACGAGGGAGATACGACTTCTAAAATAATCAGCCTGGTGAGATCAATAGGGCAGCGTTTCCCCAGGGACAAAGTTTAGGAAAAGAGAAGGAATGGAAAAAGGAAACACAGGGAGAAGGGGGCTACATTGTGGGGATTGCAGTCTGATGTGAAACAAAATGTGTGTGAATTGAAGTGCTCTGTAAATCTTCACTCAATTCACAATAAAAAGCTCTATAAAGAGAAGAATTTTCATTTAGTTACCCAGTTACACATGTTAACATATTTCAAAAATGTTAAGATGATTGTGATGAATTCGTTTCAAGTGGGGGTTGGTGCATTTGTTTCAAAGTGAGGGCAAATTTATATAACATTAAAGGGCAACTATGAGTTGTTCCTAAGTCACATGTTGTTAACCTAGGAACTTAACTATAATAGTAACTATAATAGACAACATTCATTAAGTCTACACTATTTGTGAGATTGGAGCCTTGGTGGCAGAGTGGTTATGCATTTGGCTGTGATCTGCAAGGCCACCAGTTCAAAACCACCGCCACTTTGAGGGAAAAAGTCAGGGATTTCTTATAGTCTCGAAAACTCACAGGGGCAGCTCTCCCATGCCCTACAGGATTGCTGTGAGTTGGCATTGACTGGATGGCAGTGAGAAAAAAGAGAAGATTCGGGAATTGTTGTGAGGTGCCATGAGTGGGATCTGACCCACAAAACCGTATGCAACAGAATGAAACATTGCCCCTCCCGGTGCCATCCTCACAATGGTTCCTGTGCTTGAACTTGTAACCACGGTGGCAGTCCATCTGCTTGAGTGCCTCCTCTTTTTGCTGTCCCTCTATTTTTACCAAACATGATACCATTCTCTGGGAACTGATGTCTCCTGACAACATGTCCAAAGTATATAAAATGAAATCTCACTATGTTTGCTTATAAGGAGCACTCTGACTGCACTTCTTCCGAGACAGATTAATTTGTCCTTTTAGTAGTCTATGGTACTTTCAATATTCTTCTCTAGCACAACAATTCAAATGACCAATTATTCTTCAGTTTATTCAAAGCCACCACTTTGTGTCAGTTTGTCATACAGTGGTGGCTTGTGTGCTGCTGTGATACTGGAAGCTATGACACTGGTATTTCAAATGCCAGCAGAGTCATCCAGTGCACAGGGATCAGTGAAGCGTCCAGACTAAGAACAGACAATGAGGAAGGACTTGGCTCCCTGAGGAAGCTGCTGAAAGCCTCACACACATAGCTTTGAAACATTGTCAGATATGTGAGATACTGTGGCATTTAAGCTTCACAACAATATTGTAAAGTTAGTGGGAAAATTCCATTATCTGTTAATTCCACTTTTCCATAAACTTTTTGAAGACCCTCATATCATTGCTGTCTATATTTAAGAATGGTGAAGTAGCCTTAGAGATGATACGGATTTGCCTAAGGTCACAAAGTAGGTGGGTAGTGTTTGATCTGGCCTCTGAGAGAAAGCCAGTTGCTGTTAGTTGAATGGTGATCTGTTTGTCCAGAACTGTGCCCCACAGGGCTTTCAAGACTTTGAGGAACAGATAGCTGTGTTTCTTTTTCAAGGCAACTCTGGGAGGGTTTTGAACTACCAACCTTTCAATGAGTAGTTGAATGATTAACCGTTTACATCCTCTCAAGATGTTAGCCTCACCAATGGGCATCGAGTGGATCCTGGCTCTGAGTGACCCGAGGGCAGAGCTTGCTGTGTGGTGTTTCCAAGGCTATACTCTTTCTGGAAGCAGACTGCTATATCTTCTGGGGATTTCACACTATTGACCTTTTGGTTAACAGCTGAGTACTTATCTCCTGTACCACCACTACCCCAAAAAACAGACAAACAAAAATAACACTAACCAAACTCACTGCCACCAAGTCATTTCGACTCACAGTGACCCTATAGGACAGAGTAGAACTGGCCCTGTGGGTTTTCGAGACTGTAACTCTTTATGGGAGCAAAAAGCCTCATCTTTCTCCTTTGGAGTAGCTGGTGCTTTTGAACTGCTGACCTTGTGGTTAGCTACCCAGTTAGCAGCCCATTATACTACCAGGGCTCCTTGTGTTAACCATGATAGTTTAATCTTGTTTGTACTTTTATCATAGTAACTACTTTACCTGGTGTCAGGGTTGTGTTTTGATTACCCTGAAACCAAAAAAGCAAACCATTCGCAGTGGAGTCGACTCATCTTGTGCCTGTATGTTATAGAGTAGGCCTGCGCCAGAGGGTCTTCTTGGCTGTAGCCTGTAAGGAAGCAGATCTCCTGGGCTTCCTTTTCCACCATTACTGGGCAGGTGTTCTCTGTGATGGCATTTTATTTAATAAGAATATTATCAGGTAAGACCTAATTATTGGGGGGAAACTAAGAGTCGTAATCTTTCAGTATTGATTGATGTGTATACGTTTATGATGTTTGTTGTTTCAAAAGATCTGAGGCTTATTTGAAATATAAATATTTTATAAGTGTGTTTCTATTTCATTCGTTCTTTGATGAATAGAATTAAAGTTGTAAAAATTCATATGCCCATGATTATGATTAATAGGTATTGTTGTAACTGCATTTAATAATGTGCTGCTTGGTCTTTGTTTCTGGTACCTTCAGGTGATCAAGCACGTACCTTTTTCTTACAATCAGGCCTGCCAGCTCCTGTTTTAGCTGAAATATGGTAATGTATTTTCTTTTGTAGTTGAACTTACCGTGTTAATATAATGTTCCTTCTTAGTTGTAATCCATTGTTCTTTTTTTTTTCTTTTAAAAAAATCATTTTATTGGGGGCTCATACAACTGTTATCCCAATCCATACACACATTGATTGTGTAAAGCGCATTTGTACATCGTTTCTCAAAACATTTTCTCTCCATTTAAACCCCCGACATTAGGTCCTCATTTTTCCCCTC